ACCCTCTCTGTATACCCCCAAATTTGGGGGATTTCAAGGATTTTCAAGCAAAAGAGCAGTGTGGTGAGGATGCAGCCAAGAGAAGAGCTGATACGTTGCCCAAAACTGCCAAAGGTCTTTCCGATAGAGGATTCAAATATGTGGAAAGCAAGAACTGCTGGCTCAGGAGCCAGGGAGGGGACAGAAACTTGGTTGAGGATCCCAGAGAACAAATCAAAACCAGGAAAATGCACAGACAAGCCTAGAAAGTCATAAAAACAAAGCTTAGGTTAAATACACACTGAGTCTCTTATCCCCTTGGCAGGTTAAGAAAGGGCAGCCTTTGCCTCCAGATCCGCTGGCAGAAACCATCACTCCTGCTTACTCCTGGGGAAGACAAGAGGAAGGGGAAAAAAGCTGTTCAGGGTGGACAGAAAGCAGCTCAGAGACCCCCAAATCTCAGCTCAGGAGCTTTGCTCTGGAGCAGCAGCAGAAAGACACAGAGTGCCCTGGACAAGGACAGGTGGGTGGACAGTCCTCAGCCCCTCGTGCCACTCTGGTCACTTCGTGGGCTCCTACACATCCTGCAAACTCCTCAGCCCCCCCGATTCAGGGATTTGTCCTTTAATTCATAGAATCCCAGAACGGTTTGGGTTGGAAGGGACCTTAAAGCCCATCCAGCTCCACCCCCTGCCATGGGCAGGAACACCTTCCACTAGCCCAGGTTGCTCCAAGCCCCGTCCAACCTGGCCTTGGACACTTCCAGGGATGGGGCAGCCACAGCTTCTCTGTGCCAGTGAATTGCAGCACAGTGCTGTGCTATAAACCTGTGTAACCCAGAACTCAGCGTGGAGCTGATGAAACAAGAATGAGGAAAGCAAAAAATGTAATATCCCAAATATCCCAGAGAGGTTCTTGTTTATTGCAGTTTAAACCCTATGAAAATGAAATAGATTAAAAAACCTTGTTTGGGGAAAAAGCAATGATCGTTTCCCAGCAGCCGCTCGCTGTTTCCTTTCATGGACACAGCCCCTAAAAACCAAGGCGTTTTCCCCTTTGATGTCATGGAAGGAAATAACATATTTGGGTCCAGCCTTTGCTCAGAGCAGCCCAGACAATATCAATCAGGGTGTTGGGGGGATGGGAAGGATGTGGGGAGGTTCAACCTGACCCTTTAGCACTGTTTTCTTTAACTTTCACATTAAATTAACTGTCCTATTGTTCTATATCGCTCCATTGCATCTTAATTTCCCCATCATGATTCTTTTGTTCCACCACAAAGCTTTTGAAGCAGATAAGAAAGGGAAACCACTTGCAATCATCTTTCCAGAGGGCACCTCCAGATCGCAGGCAGCACATGGAAATGACTGGGAAAATAAAGCCCTGTCACGAAATCTCTGCTCATTTTCCTTGGAAATGTGTTGGTATTGCTTTGAAAGCTACTTGGGACTGTCCAGGATGGCAGAACTGGGATCCATTTCCATCTCCATACTAAAATTCACGCGAGGCACAAATGAGTTGCTGAGATTTTCCTGCCATCGTCACCAGGAGCTGAATAAAAATCACATTAAATTTACTTTACACTTCTGCAGCAACTGGTGGCCGCCTCTTAAAGTGCTTTTCAAGCCTTTGGGCCGAAGACAAATCAGGATCCTGTCAAGTCAAGAAGCCTTCCTGTTAATTTAACGTGGTTAGTTTTGCCCGTGGAATAGACTTTCCAACGTGCTCAGCTGTTTTATGAGTCTGGCCTCTTCTTTTGGTGTCTGAAATGAAGAGTAACTCCTGAATAAAATAAGTGACTTCCTGGGCTGCTTCCAGAGGTGCTGGATGATGCCACCATACAGAGGCCAAGCTCATCCCACACCAACTCCAGACAATACCAGAAACAGCACCCAAACCTCACGGATTTTTAATAATCCTGAAAATACAACAGATCTGCTGCATTTTAGTTTGGTGATGCAAAAAGAAGAGTATTCCCTTCTGGCATGTCTCCTCCCTGAAAATGCTATCAGAGCCTTAAACAGCTTTGGAAAAGGAGGGAAAGAGAGGCAGGATGTAGCACGTGCTTGCAAAAGGGCAGGTTTGGGCTGAATTCATCATTTTGCCATGAAATGGGTTAGAAATGGTGCCAGCAGGGCAATGGGCCATGGGCCTGAGCCACATGGCTTGAGGATTTGGGCTTGAAGGCCCTGCCTGCAGGAAAATGCCTCGGCAGGGGGTGATGCACTGAGCTCGGGGTGCTGGAGTGGGGGCTGGATTCCATCTCCTGTCCCTGAGGGGCTCCCACAAATCCACACCAAGGGCTCTGCAGGGGGGCTGGGCAGAGTGGGTCCCTGTGGGAGTGAGCAGGGTCTGCCCAGGTACCCAGGAGTTTCCTCCCTTGCAAAGGGCTGGATTTGGTGTATTTTGACTCATCCCTGTGAGGGTGGGGAGGCCCTGGCACAGGCTGCTCAGAGATGCTGTGGATGCCCCATCCCTGGAAGTGTCCAAGGCCAGGTTGGACGGGGCTTTGAGGTGAGGACGTGGTCCAGAATCACAGGGACATGTCCCCTAGGGTGTTAAAGGAAGGCAAGAGGAGAGGGATGGAGGGAAGAATATAAAAGAGAAAGAGGATACAGCTTTTTTGGCTGTCCCCATGCCAAGGAATGGCTTCCAGAGAGGTGTTCAGCTAAGCACACTGGGAAGCAACCCTTTCTTTGTTGTTCCAAAAACATAATGAAAAGCAAAAAGAAACATAAAAAAAAAGAAGCCCAGCTGCCTTGAAATGGAAAGAGTTTCTTGCATGAAAGGGACAGTAGGATGTATGGATGTCCAGTTTCCTTGGATTTTTAGGCAGTTTCCCTTGCAGCTACTGCCCTCTCGAGGAAACCTCTCATCTGTTCCATTTTTACTGGTTTTTTCCCCAGAAATGAAATGATTTCCCGGCAGAGAGAAGGAGCACGGACAAAGGCTGTGGTTCTGCCTAGGCCTGACATGGCCAGCAGTGCCAGGGACTGCCAGTGCCACGTGGAACCCCTGGGAAGGGGGATGGCATCGGGACATGGGGTTGCAGCCCCGGGACATGGCACCACGAGATGAATCCTTCCCAAACCTGTTCCATGGGGGCACCCCAGGGTGCTCTGCCCCCAGCCCTGCTGCTGCTCAGGGAAGGTCTCCTACGGGCACCACCACAAGCTGCCGCCTGCTTTGCTGCCCTGCTCACCTCCCGACAACACGAGATAATTGGGAACGGGAGCCAAAGGTGAGGCCAGCGTTCCTCTCAGATGGCTGGAGGTCAGAGCGATGCTGGCACGGAGCTGACAGCACCAAAGAGCCGTCGGGGTCAATGCAGCCGGTGGGGACAGAGCGGGATGCAAGGGGCTTTGCTGGGAAAAGCGAGGCCTGAGCCGGCAGAGCAGCAGTGCCATTGCCTGGAGCCCTCCTCCAAGGTGCTCTCCTCTCCCTTGGACAAATCCCAAAGCGAACACAAACACCCCTTAGTTTTATTTTTCCATAGCCAAGAGCTCTCCCCTGCGGCCAAGGGCTCAGGATTTACCCCGCTCTTCCTTCACGCCGAAGCGTTGAGAGGCTGAGCACCCCTGTTCCTTCCTTGTTTCATCCAGCAGTGTGGGGAGCACCTCTGGATGATCCCGGCACACTTGGAACAGGCTTGCATGGGGCATCCTAACTTTAGAGCCAGGTGGTGCAGCTCTCGAGCACAGCTTGGGGAAACTCTCCAGAAGAGGAATAAATGGTTGGGGGAATGGGGTTTGGGGCAGTGCCGGGGATGGGAGGTCGTGAGAAGTGCTGGGGTCAGGCTTTGTGACCTGGGGTGAGGATGTTTGTGGAAAGCAAATTCGTCATGTCAGAAAGCAAAGGTTTGCAGAAAATGAGCCTCCTCATTAGGGTTAATTTTACCCTAAAACTGTGAGTTTATATCTGTGGCCCCGGTACTTGCGAAGATCTGGTGACAATCTTGCCATTTTCCATCAACCCCTTCGCCTCAAACCGGGCTGCAAACATGTTCAACCCTCCTCCAGTCAGAACTATGGCTCATGAGCCTGGTTTTGGGGACAGTTGGGCAGGGCTGGGGGTCCCGGTGCTGACCCCAGGTGAGGTGCAGAGGGTCAGTGCTCAGAACAGCCCCCTGGGCTCACTGGGGATGGGAGCCAGAGCCGCAGAAAGGCCACGGCAGAGGGGTGCTTCCACCTCTAAAGTAGCACATGTGATGTTAAACGACATTTGAGCACATTATGGGCTATTTCATAGGATATAGGCAGAGATATAGGTGATTTCTTGTATATCTATTGAATCCTATATTGTGTATCTATTGAAAGCTATATTGTATAAATATTGCAGCTGTGTCAGGGGAGGGTTAGGCTGGATCTCAGGGAAAGGTTCTTCCCCCAGAGGGTGACCAGGCTCCCCAGGGCAGTGGTCACAGCACTAAGGCTGCCAGAGCTCAAGGAGCATTTGGACAACGCTGTCACGGACAGGGTGGGATTGTTGGGGTGTCCTGGGCAGGACCGGGCATTGGGACTGGATGGTCCTTGTGGGTCCCTTCCGGTTCAGGATATTCCATGATTCTGTGGGATCTCTCTGGCCACACTGTTTGCTCTGCGTAACAGGGGATTTTATAGGGAACAAGGATAAAGAACCGCCACCGTAAAACTACTTTTAAAACCCATTATAAACAGGCAGGAAGCTGGGAAAGCACTTTCTCTCCCTGAAGTACATCCCTCACGTGCGCGTCATGTGCAATACGGGATGGGGGCGTGTATCTCACACAACCCGCAACAGGCGAGTACACAGACAGCGAACTGGAGAGAATTCTGTTTGGGACACAGGAATTCTGCTTATTTCGTAGAAATAAGGCGGTTTAAAAACGATTCATCTGCGCGACCCCCAAGAACCGCGGCCGTGGGGCAGCACCCACGGTCTCATGGCCACGGCCCCACTTTGGCCCCGCCCCCCGCTTTGGCCCCGCCCCGCCCGGGCGCCCCGCTGTCCCCGCGCACTGAGCGCCGGGCGGAAGTTGCTGGGGGCTGGCGACGGAAGTGACGTCAGAGCTCGTGCGTGCGTGAGGGAAGATGGCGGAGGCGGTGGAGAGCAGAGCGAGACTCACTCGGGAGCTGGAGGTGTGGGGGCACGGGGATGGGGTGGGCAGGGCCCGGGGCTCCCTCTGTGTGTGTGAGGTGCGCAGGGCTTAGTGTTCAGAATCGGCCACTGGGCTCGCCAGAAAGCCCTCGAGAAACTCGCGAGTTTCACACAGATTAGTGCATTCCAGTGTAATTCTCTTGCCCGAGCAGTGCCCAAGCGCTGCGGGCACTGTCGGGGCTCCAGGCAGCAGCCGGGGCTTCGGAAGTGGCCCCACGGGCACGGCACAGGCTCTTCCCGCGTGGCATCCACAGAGATTTATCCTTGGGCAGAATTCCCAGTGCTCGTCTGAACGTGGAGCTCGCACATCCCGCTGCAGTGATCTGAGAGAAGTGTGAGCTGTGAATTTTGCTCTCTGTGAGCTCTTGTGATCCCGAGTTTAGATCTGACTGCCTCAGCGAGTGGAGGGAAGCAGGTGATCCTGTGTGTGCTCCCGGGCACCAGCAGAACTTTGGTGTTGGGCCTGGAGCTGAGCAGTGGAAAATTCCATCCTGCAATGGAAGGGGTCCCTGGTTCCAGGGGAGCAGCATCCAGCTCCAGCTGCTGTTCCTGTGCTGAGCGCGGGTCCCTCTCGTGTTCCCAGCGTGTCGCTGCAGCCTTGTAGCCCTGAGTTGTGTGTGGGGTGCTGTGGAGCTGGAGGGAATTGTGCTGGAAGCAGGAGCTGCTGCTGCCTCAGGTGATGGGCAGCAGGGCCCAGAGGAGGAGGAGAGTGCCTTGTGGGGGTGGGAGAGTTGAGGGAGCTGTGCAGGTGCATTCCCATCCTTTGGAGGAGCACTGGGCACAGCTGTTCCAGCCGGCTGTGCTGAGGGCAGGGTAGCACTGGCTGTGCTCCCAGCACTCCTCCATAGGGAGGGCTGGTTCTGACTCCTCACATTCCCATCAGTTGCCTTTTGTCCCATTGCCATTCCCGGGCTCAGAGCAGTGGCTGGTGCATGGTTTGGGCAGCCTGAAGCTTTATTGGAAGATACAACTGAATTGATATAAAAAAAGTTGCCCAGACCTATGATGGGATGTGGAAAAAACTTCCATCAGTTGTCTTGGAGTGTTCAGTTTTCATGAAACTTGGCTTCCTGCTGTGTTCTGTATCCTACTGCTCTTCAAATGTGTAACCAAATGAGTTGTGTTTGTTTTCAGGCCCCTGGAGGGACTGCAGCAGCCCTTGTTTATGGCCAGCTTCTGGCTTTGTCCCTGCTGCACAGCGACACGTGAGTGGCTTCTCTCCACCTGTGGCTTTAGCCCCGGGGTTTGTCACCAGCAGCTCGAGCTGCAGCCGCCAGAACTGAGGAATTGGTTGTGTGAGTAACAAAATGCCAGTGGGCAGTGCTGTGTTTGAAAGGAGAGAGGGATATTCATGGGATTAAGTCTCTTTCAACCTTCGATCTGAACAAAAAATCACTCTCCTTTGTGTGCTCCTCCCCCCCCCCTTTTGGAACTCGGGAAATTTAGGAATAAAGTTCCTTATGTAGTGAAGTTGGCTGCTTTTGGGCAGTGTCAGACATTTCAGTGTTTGGATTTGTAGCTGTTCAAGGCTGCATTTGTTTTGAGTAGGGTTACAGGCTGCTCCTTGTGTTTCAGTTCCAGCAGGATGACTCTGGACTGTCTGTGTTAAAAATGAGGGATGCTGTTGGCTTGGAGGAGATGAATCTGCAGGAAGCAGCAATCCCTGAGTTCTGTGTGGTGTGGGATTGCCATGGCCCTGGGTGAACTTGGTTCACTGCACTTGGGGTTGGAGGAGAAGTTGCTGATTATTTATTCAGGCCAAATGAATGTCACTGCCACGTCTGATCACCAAGCCCCAAAGGAAGCACTGATGGGGGAAATTCCAAGATTTGACTGTTTTCCTGGATTGTAGGGGTATATTCTTTCAGGGCAAATTCCCTGAAGGCTGATACTGAATATTTAATGCAGATAACCTTGGTTCAGATGAATTTGAAGCTTTGCAACTGTGGATTTTTAGAATTGTGCTTTAATGAAAAGCAGTGAGACTTCTTCACTATTTTACACTTTACACCTTGGAACTTGTAATCGTTTCAGTTTGGCTTCTGTGCTCTAAAGGTCAATAACCAAATGTTTCAGAATGTCCCAATCCCCAGAATGTGTGTGACCAAGCTGGGCTGGGAAAAACATGCCCAAACCAGTCCAAGTCTTTGGTTTGCAAAGTGGGCTTGTGGGCACATGAAGAAAGCATTTTTGTGCTCTTCATTAGTCAAAGAAAAATGAAAGTGCAAAGCTCACTTCTGAGAAATGCTGCCAAAATGAGAAACCCCTCCCAAAGTGGTGTTCAATGAGGCTGTTAATGAGCTGTTTGCTGTGTTACCTCAGTCCCCTTGTCTGCTGGAGAGGGAAACAAAGATTGAACCCTATCAATGCTAGGCAGCCATCCTTTAATAACAGTAATGGGGTGCACTGGGGATAAATCTGTCCATAGTAAGTGCTCCAACAATATTACAAACACAAAACCCTTCTATGTTCTAAAGTCATTACACTTGCTTGTTAAATCCTGCCCAGTTCATCCCCACACTCTGCAAGTCTACTGTAATTATTTCACAGTCTTTGCTGCCATCCTGCGTCCTTTTGTGACAATTGCAGTCTCTAAAACACTTTAGCTTTTGGGTTTTAGTCCATAAATTAATCCTTTATTGTGCCGTATTCTTTTGCTTTACAGCCTTGAATGCTGATTGGTTGCTTGTCTGTTTGAAGATATTTTCTATCTGTTTGCAAAATTTAAATTCCTTTCCCACTCCCCTTCCTTTAAAAGTTATAAAATTCACAGCAAGTTGAGCAAAAATGTAAGGTTATACTCATTGTGTGCCACATACGTAACTTTAGCATAAAAAAATTCTAAATTAATTCTTTATTAACTGTTTCTATTTAAGCGTTAGTAGAAAAATTATAAAAACCTTACTCATAATGTACATGATTTAACAAACAATATTTGACAGTCCCCTTTCAGTTGTCCCATTTCCAAGTCTTGAAAGTGGTTCTTCTTTGTTCTTGGATGGCTAATTTCTGCTTAGTTTCTCCTTTTAAGCAATACAAAAACAGACATCCTTTCCATCTACAAGCTGTGTGTCTTATTTTAAAGGTTATAGGATTCTCAGGCAAGTTTCTCAAGCAAGCAAAAGTATTAACAACATTATTCTCAGGCAAGTTTTTTTCAGGCAAGCAAAACTTTTAGAGCATCAATCCCAGGCAGGCCTCTCAGGTAAACCAAGCAAAACCATTTAACAGGATTAACAACTTCTTCAAGAGTAGCTTTGCTTTTGCACTGCAGTGTAAAATATTCCTGCCTAGAAGGACTGTTTCAAAGCACTGAGACTGTTCAGATGTGAACACACCTTTTGGTGTCTCCTTGCAGCAAGCATTTGGTGACTGACAAGTATTTTGAACTTCATTTTTTTTTAGGAATAACAGGCGGTATCTCTGGAAAAGAATCCCTCCTCCCATCAGATCTGTAAGTACTGGATTTCCAGCTGTGACCACTGTAGAGAAGACATTCTTCTGGATGAACACTTGGGAGGGGTTTTGGTCACAACAGGCAAATGCTGAACATGGTGCAGTTTGGTCAGTGGGACAGAGAATCTGGCAGAGAGACTTGGAAGCACTCAGAGGTCCAAAGTGACCTTGTGTGGGCAGCAGGGAATTGCCTGAAATGATTCCTGTGTGCTCAAACACTAATTATGAGAAATGAGAACTGCTGCCAAATTTGTGTGGGTTTTCCTGAAAGGATTTTAGGTATTAGGTGTAAATAAAAACCTCATGACAAAACCTTGTAAAAACGAACTAAGTTGTTTTTAGTAGGGTTGTGTCTGTGATTGTATATTCTTCATATTGGAATTTCATAAACCACAAGGTTTGTTCTGTAACAGCAAACCAGATCATTAATTACCCAGTTTTATCAGACTTCTGAGCAGTAATTTAGGGAACTTGGCGTGGCATTTCAGAACCTTGGGACACTCATAAAAAGGTTTATCTGTCACCTGTGACTTGAGACAAACATTTTAGAGACTGTGAAATGGTAACATGCAAATTCTTGCTACTAGAGGGCAGCACAGACTGCTAAGAAGCCTTCTTATTTGCAATAACAAATTCTCTGTAGCTTTAGAAACAACTGACTTTTAGATGCCATTAGTAGTTTAACTCATTGTTTTTCTCAATTTTTTTTCCTGCTTCTGAACTGTTTGACACACAAGCCTATTGCAAGTGGAGAATGCCATCAGATGCAGGGTTTCCTGAAGTGGTTTATGGACTGGTGGGAGTGCCCAAGATCTGCATTTGGAGGTCAATGTGGTCTCTGAGGGGTTTTGTCCTGGCAGAGCAAGTTGTTGCCTCTGGCTGCTGAGTGAAAGGGGTCAGTGGCTTGTGGGAAGGGAGGGGGAACTTTGGAAGTGCTCCCTTTGGGGCTGGTATTGGTTTTCCAAAGGCGTCAGAATTGGGAAAATATCCTCAGATTTCCTACCTGTGGAGTTGAGTGTCTGTCTGCTCACAGTGTTTCTGTGTCCTCAGAAGGCACCAGGAGGTGAGCCCTTGCCCTGGTTTCTCAGGCTCAGACATCGATAGTTGCAGATGATTTTGCAGCTTCCCTTGGGCTTCCTGTGGAAGACACTGTGAAAGGTACGTGGCATCTCTTCCCTGAGTAGCTTTGGTACAGGTGAGTGAGATCAGAGAGCTCTAAGTGATGATTAATAAAAATGTGTATACAGATCCTGAGACTGTTATAAAGACAAGTGATGGGGCAGTGGATAGAAATCATGCCTTTGCTCTGGATAATGGTCGTATTTTTGTAAATTATTTGCCACTACTTATCGTTTATTCTCCCCTTCTACATGTTAAAGCAATTCCATGGTGAGGGAAGAGTGAAAGGTGAAGCTAATTCTGTGTGCTGTTGCTTTCCTGATGTTATTTGTTGAACTGCATGTCTAAATATAAGCATTTTAATAAGAAACCTATCTTGGAGTTATGGCACACAGGCAGTGAGCCGAGGTACTTTTCTACTGGCCTTAATGTGCCTCTTTATTTTGCATTTCTAGCAATCATATAAGGAAATGGTTCTTACAAATGCACAAATGCCCTTCCCGGAGGGCTAGAGCAGGACTGGCAAGTAGACTTTGCAACTCGCACGGTGATGCCTAAAAAAACAGGTAGGGGGAGCTGTTATTTCAGGAAACACCGAGGGCAGCCTTTTCGAGGAATTGGGTGTTAGTTTTTAATTAAAACCGCGCAGAATTCTGTTAGGTGTGTTTTGGAGGCTAATGCTGCTTATAAACAGGGGACAGGTATAAAATGTAAGGAAGTACAAAACGATGGGTTTGGTTTGGACTTCGGAGTGGTTTGGATTAAACTACACGTGAACTTCTTTAAACAAAAGCTGTCAGGATATGCTGTGGTTGCTCTGCTCCTCTGCTGCTGACTCTGACTCAGTGGCACATAAGCTGGATGATCTGCAATGACATGTCTTAATCTAAGAAAGATGAGTAAAAAAATACAGCATTTTGAACCTGAGAACTCTTTCAGGAGAATTAGAGCATCTTTGGGCAGGGATTTAGTGAATCCTTGTGTTCTGAGGAGCTCCAGTTGTTGGTATAATTTCCTTTGCTTTTAAAATTTATTCTGCTGGATCTTATCTTTACTGTCGTGGTGTTGATACCAAAATCTCTGTTCTTGCAAAGCTTGGGCTGCAGAAATACTTGGCTTTTTTTTTTTTTTTGCTAAAGCTTTATCAGTATCTGGCTGAGGCAAAAATAAATATTAAGCTATGGAAGCAGGATGGAATGACTGGTGTTAAGCTGCTCTGTGCAGCTCTGGAAGAAGGAGCCAAATTCCAGCATATCTAAAAGGGCCAGATGTATTAGGCTAAGAATTGGAAGAGGTGCTGATCACCTCATGGAATCACAGGCTGGTTTGGGTTGGAAGGGACCATAAAGACCATCTGGACTCTGGCATCCAAATTCACAGCAAGGAGCACATCCAGAAGCGCCTCCTCACCCTCCTGCACGTCCTGAGTGTCTTCCATGGCACCACCCGGCCTGTTTGGGAACAGGAACAGCTGCTGGGAGCTCTGGCAGGAGCACCTGGAGACCAGGTAAAAAGAGCCATGGGATTGTTTTGACTGCTGCTGGATGTGGTTTTTTCCAGATGTCCCTCTGATTGATCTGTTTCACAGTGGGTTCCTAGGGCACATTGGTGGGTGATTCCAAGAATTTGAAAATAGTGGGAAAGCAGTGGGACAACATGTGAACTTGATCCACTTCTAGTAATTCCAACCTTCTCCTGCAACATGGTTCCGGGGGAAACCTGGTTAAAGGGTAAGGATGCAGAGGAACAAGTGATCTAAAACCCCCTGGCTCTCTGTCAGAGCAAACCTGGTCATTCCAGTGGATCTCTCTTC